ACCATTTACTGAAGAGGCTGTCTTTCTTCCATTCTATTGTTTTAGCTCCCTTATCGAAGATTAGATGGCTATAGGTCTGTGGATTCATTTCTGTGTTTTCAATTATATTCCATTGGTCCTGAGGTCTGTTCTTGTGCCAGTACCAAGCTTTTTTTTATTACTATGGCTTTGTACTAGAGTTTGAAATTTGGTATTGATATTCCTCCAGCACTGTTCTTTCTGCTAAGGATCGTTTTTGCTATTCAGTGTCTTTTATTGTTCCGTATGAATTTTTGGATTGCCTCTTCTATTTCCTTGAAGAATGAGGTTGGAATATTGATAGATATCACATTGAATTTGTAGATAGCCTTGGGAAGTATTGCCATTTTCACGATATTGATCCTTCTAATCCAGGAGCATGAGAGGTTTTTCCACTTTCTAAGTTCTGTTCTGATTTCCTTTTTCAGGTTTTTAAAGTTTTCATCATAGAGGTCCTTCACTTCTTTGGTTAAGTTAATTCCTACATATTTTATTTTTTGTGGGGCTATTACGAATCAATTTCCTTTCCTGATTTCAGCCACGCTTTTCTCATTGTTGGCATACAGAAAAGCCATTGATTTTTGAGGGTTAATTTTATACCCTGCTACTTTGTCAAAGTTTTGAATCAGCTTGAGTAATTTGGGAGTGGAGTCTGTGGGATTCTTTAAATACAAGATCATGTCATCTGCAAAGAGGGAGAGTTTTACTTCATCTTTCCCTATTTGGATCCCCTTTATGTTTGTATCTTGTCTTATTGCTGTAGCTAGTCATTCTAATACTAGATTGAAGAGAAGTGGAGAGAGTGGACATCCTTGTCTCGTTCCTGAGTTAAGAGGAAATGGCTTTAGTTTTTCACCATTAAGTGTAAGGCTGGGCAAAGCCTTGTTTTTATGCCTTCTGCACTAATGCAACTAATTCCATCCCTTTCCCTCTTAAAATTGACCCATGTTAGAAAGCAATTATATGAGAAAACTTCCTAACAATAAGTTAAGAGCAAATCCCACAAATCTATTCCGAGAAAAATTCAAACCTCTGAAAATGGTTTGTCTCTGTAAATGTGAAAGGCAACTAGCTGATGTGAAAGATTAACAACTTAAAAACTTCTTTGTATTTTATATTTTGTATTATACTTTTAGGTACACAGTGTTTGACTCCAAGGGGTAAGGCAGGAGGAATAGAAGTATTGCTCATAGAATAATCAGTGTCAAACTAACTGATGACTTACTGAAATGTTGTTTTGCTTTTCAGGAAAATATTTGGCAGATAACTGATAAAATCTTATGCAAGGACTTGGAAAATTCCTTTGTGGAGAACTGTTATATAAGAAACAGGTTTTCATTCTGGTTGATAAAAAAGAAACCAGTGTCTGCACTCTGGATATATCAGCTGAAAGGTTGTGGCCTTTCAGAGATAATTTCCCTCACCCAGTACCATGACGACCAGTCCTACAGTATTTACTTCTAGCTGTAATATTGTTAATGGTTTTAAAATGGAATTATTGTATTTGTAAATTGTATTCTCATTCCAGTAAGGCAGTTAGACACTTGAGTTCTAGCATTTTATCATACCTGAAACGGATGTAATTTAAACTGTGGTATGTAAATTTACTAGTAGTCCTGTTGAATGGCACAGTGCTTACAGAGCTAGATCGCATTTTGTCAATATATAAAATTTAAATATAATACTGGTTGCTGTCACAAAGGGGGTGCCACATAGAAGAAACTTAAAGGGAACCAGAAGAAAAAAAGAACATCTTTACTTTTCTTCAGTTCTTAGTATGTTTTACGCTAGTGCTAAACAAATATTCTATCTTTGGATGTTTAGTGGGTTAAATTCAGAAACTATTTAAAAAAATTCTAAGGTTACAGCATATTCAAAGAAAACCATTACTTACCACTTTTTAAAAAGCTTTTTTTTCAAACTGCAAATTTCATAAAAATGCAAACTGTGTAAACAGGGCCTCTTATTTTTATAACTTGTGTAAAAAGGGAAAGCAATTCATATTTAAAGTTTAAGTATATTAAATTATAATCAAGAGAGAAGATGTTGAAATCTTAACTAGTTTCCCCTTTCTCTACAGTTTAACAAATGTGAAGGTTGCTGAAAATTGTCAGGCTAAAACCAAACCTGTGGTTTAAGGTCTTAAGATATTCCGTAGTTGAAATCGTTAATAACTTTTGCACAATTCCTCTGAACAGATGGTCTGTCTGTCTCACACAGCACAGATGAATGATACCTTGTGACTTCCTCTTAACCCCTAGGAACCAAAATATTGAGGAAAAGAAACAGCGGGGGCGGGGGGGGGAGGGATGGCTCCTCATTTAGGTTCAAAAGGAGAATTTTAATTGTCATCTTTTTTTATCATTTTGGAAAGAAAAAATAAGCTTTATAAAAGAAATTCTATCCACAATACTATACAATTAACTTCCTTTTAGGTGATTAAGATTCATTGTATAACATTCTTTGGAAATCTAAGTCATCAGTCACTTCATTAACCTTCATGAAGGGATGGTAAGCACTAGTTCCCGGGTCCTTTCCATCCAACCACGTGGGAATCTGAACAGAACTTCCTGATCAGTCACACTTGTCAGGTCTTCCCCCACTGAAGTCTGAAAACATTATTCATTTTTAAGTTAGAATTCATTTTTTTAAATAAACCAATTCCTGTTCTAGGTCATACTATTGAATAGCTAAAATTAAGTCGTTATATGTATGATTGGTTACTGAATTTCATTTTATATTCACTAGAATTTGACAGAAAATCTTCAGTCCCTTTCAATTTTAGAATCAAATTACCTTTTTTTAAGTCTTCCTTTTCAAATGAGATTGTGACTGATGATTGTTTACAGTGGGACTTTTTAAATTAATATTTATGCTCTTTGATCACTGCTTGCTAGCAAGAGAATGTCCAAATAACCTGCTTTCCCTTGGAGAAATGCTTACTGTTCAAACAAGCGCTCTCCCCCCTCCTCTTTCTCTCTCTTTCTCTCTCTCAACCGGCTCCCAGACTCCCAAAGGCAGCCTGATGTTCAAATGTTTTTTTTCTGATGTTGAAATGTTTTTGAACAAAGTAATTAATGCATTCATTTTAAATAAAATAATTCTATTTGATTTTGAACCCAAAATAGAGAGATGTAAGATTTTAGATCTCATGAAATATGAAGAAATTTAAAATGCAAAAGCCTTAGTAAGAAGCAGAAATTGGAGAATTACCCAGTGTATAACATAAAAATGTTTAAAATAATCAATTTATAGAGAAATATATTGAATATTAAAGCAAAGCATATTGAAATGTTTAATTATTACTGTTTCTTATGTCTTTCTCTTTAACTTTACTTTATAAAATAGATTTAGAATTAAACACAAAGTTTTTCTTTCCAAAGAACAAATTTGTTGATACAGTAAAAAGCATATAAGTTAAACTATAAATTTAAGTAATCTCTAACATTATTCAAATGTTCCAGGAACTAAGTTTCAAATGACAAAAAAAAATCCTTTGATCCCTTGGTTAATCTTTATAAAACCTTCAACAACCAAAACTTCCATAGAGACTATATTCCATTCCCTTTCAGAATATAGATCAAGCGACACCCTAAGCTCATTTCAGAGATAAAGATTTGGTGTTCTGCTTTGGTTTTTAATCTTATTGGTTATGAATCCATTAAACCTACAGCCACAAAATGAGAATCCAAGCTCTGAAAATGATTCTAAACAATACACACTCTCAGTTATCAAAGACATATCATAAGGTTCTGTCAGCTTCTATAAACAAACAAAATGGCCTCACTCATAAGAAAGATGATTTTTTAATCCCAGGGTTAAAATAACAAGAGGTTCTAGTTAACCAGAAACCTCTTTCCTAATCATTTTGATCAAAAAGACTGGTCTATCAATATGGAAAGAATAAATGATACTGCTTTATTTCAGCAACATGGAACTTCTGTCAATAAATCCCAAATTTCCATGAATTTTTTAAAAATAAATTCTTATCATAGTCTGAATTTTATCACAATCGGAATTTTTAGCCACTAAAAATTACTGTTGTTGTTATTATTATTATTACTTTTTAAAGCTCTTTGATACATCTATCACCGAGATGAAACATTCATTGTATCATATTAAGGAAGATTCTTTACTTCTAAAGAAAGAATGCTTACACATTTAAATGGTTTGAGTGAATAGATACGAATCCCTCAGAAAGTCAAACTGCACATACTTTTTGTTTTTGCTTGATCTCAACCTACAAAGTGTTGGAGCTATAATCGCATAAATGTCCACTTTTAAATCTTTCTCTCAAAGAAGCAAAGACAGCTGCCTGAGATCTCCTGCAACTCCTTTGCATTAGTCACTGCCTCTTCTCTGTTCAGTGAGGAGCTGGGACTGACATAACTTTCTAGCTTTTCTTCATGGAGAATTTTGCTAATCAAATGACACATGGAATCCCATGAGAGAAAACATCTCCATGCAACAGAGGGGTTTTGCAACAATTTCAACGCTGTAACTACACATAGAACTATAAAGTATCTTCCCCCTCTGCAGATCCCTTGCACTGATAAACCAGATTTTAAGACTGCATAAGGGAATTATGTATAGTCACAGTGATTGGCTGGTATACAAAATGATAATATATACTAAAGTGCTTACTATGTGTACCAATCGTTGCAGATATTAGCTCATTTAATCCTATAAAAATCCAGATATTGTAAGGACTCTTGGAATTCCGGTTTTACCAATGATTATATTGAAGATTATGCAAATTAATTAACTCACCCAAAGTAGCACTTGAAGTAGAATGACTACAAAAGGCACACCCTGATCTATTTCATTTTTCCCACTTGGGGGAATGAGGAGAGTGTATTTTATTTTATTATATCTGGGCCATTCGAATGCCAAAGTAAAAGGTTAATAGCATTGAAATAAGAACAATTCTAATAAGTATGATATGCAAACCACTTGTATCCTCACATCGAGAGGCAATGATATGAATTAAGTAACCATTATATATATTCTGCACAGTTCATTATTTCCTATTGACTTAATAAATATGTAGGGATGGAACTTGGGATATATATATATATATACACATATATATATGTGTATATATATATATATATATATATATATCCCTCACCCAAGCCATAATTCTACTCCACATATGGCTTTGTGCTAGTTAATTGGAGATAAGAGTTACACTGACTTTCCTGCCTGGGCTGGCTTTCAGCTGTTATCCTCAGATCTCAGCTTCCTGAGTAGACTGGATTATAGGCATGAGCCATCAGCACTTTGCTTGGGAATATTTATTTTGGTAAGTAATCAAAAGTTGAAAATCACTGCCTCTATACGTAGTTCTACTTTTAGTTCTACTTTAGTTATACTTTTTAGTTCTAACAAACAAGATTGGAAGCAGTAATTTCTAAGTTGAATACCATTTTTCTAGTCAATTTCTTTTTTTTTTTTACTTGGTCTACTTAAATTCTTCCAATCTTTGAAAAAGAAGTAGGGGGAGAAGCATTTTCTAAGAAAATCCTTATCTTTGGGGAATTTTCTGATCATGCTTTCTCAATCTCAAAGCAGTCTGAAATGCATAGTTCCATTTTCATATTTCAGTCTTCTTTTCAATTTTGTAAAAGACTAGCAGTAGTAGGAATGTTGTGAGCTATCGCTCATTTTTAATATAAAGTCCTTATAAATGTTTCCTTTCTTTTAAGAAACCCCAGCCCTCTACGTAATTTGGCTTTGTTTTATGGGCTTTTTATGCTTTACAAACACAAATAAGCCTCATTCCAAAAGAACTGAACCAGCCATTTCAATGTTTGCAATTTTTTTCAAAATAACAGATAGTTAATATTGAAAGATACAGTAAAATATGCAAATATCTACATGAAAATGTGTTTGTGTGTTTATGCGTGTGTGTATATGTGTGTGTGTGTGTTTAAAGCTTTCTCTTTCTCTTACAGAGTATGCTTTGTGCAACTCTATTCAGTCTAAATGTTCTTTTTGTCTTACAATTTTTGATCAGCAACTTAAGAAAGGAAAGCAGAATTTTTAAGCATATAAAAATGGGATTGGCCATAACTATAGCTTTGAAAGTTAATACTAGTAAATATAATGTTCTCCTGAGATGAAATAAATGATTCAAATTAAATTGTTGATATAATTGAACAAATCAGCCTGGTTACTTGGATTAAAGATATATTCTAATGAGCTGCCCCATTATTCTTTAACAAGTTCTCTCTCTTGTAAGCTTTATTGTATTCTCTTACTCCTTGCTCCTTTAAGGGTTTGGTTTTCCTATTTGGAAAGCAGTATCTAAAGCCATTCTCTCAGTCATGAATTAAACATGGCTACTTTTATATTGCTTTATTTTGTCCACAGAATGACAAATAAAAGTGAAAAAGGAATGCATTGTTTTAAGTGTGCAAATATTAAAAACAAACAACAATAAAATACTTTCTCCTATGTCCTTACTTTGATCCTCTGTCATTGTCATGTTCTGCAGAATCACATTGAAAATTTTAATATCCAGTTGAAATCTAAGCCACTTTCATAAAGAACTAGCAAATTTGGGCTCTATTGAGTTAACTATAATGAGACTTTTTGATTGACAGTCATGACTAGTATCTCATTTCTATCCCAAATGAATACTTTTATAAGAAAAGGCACCATTTTGTTGACATTCATCATGAATATAGTAATTTATTCTCTAGGCTGAAGTTCTAAACTTATTTTTCTTTTGGTTTATAGTATTTTTTTGTTTTACTCCTTCTCTCCCTAGATTATATTGTGAGTCTTAAATGAATATTTAACCCTGTCAGAAATTTCAATAAAAAGCAAATATATTTTTTATTTTTTCCTTAAGGTTTTAAAGTAAAGTTATCTGGACGCAATTCGTTACCATTCCAGTATTTTCCAAATTATATTTGGGTCTACTAGTTTAGGCCACTGTGCAATGTGATCTGAGAACAAACAGTCCTGCACAATACTCCTGGATCCTTAGACTTTGACAATAAATGTTAGTGTTATGTGAAACTTAAGAAAGTTATTGGATCAGGTCAGGAAACTGTTTTTGTTTGTTTTTTATTTCAAAGTATACCTTGAAATGTATACTTCGAATTTGGGGAAAGTTTCCTTTTAATATTGATTTCTACATCTTTCAACAACAACAAATAAGATAATCAGAAGGCTTTGTAAGGATACTGGTAGGGGATTTTGTTTTGAGGAAATTCTTGCCATTTCAAATGAGTTTCTATGTTCACTAGTATCCCTCAAGTGAATTTAACTTTATT